ACTTCGTCCTGAATAATCCATTACATGCATTGCTTTGAAGTAAAAACACAGCAAATGGACTAAAAAAGGATTGCTAAAAGTTGACCCTTTCCATAACTTTTTATGACCAAAGTTGGTTTAATATCTTGGATGTTTTACTTTCTAATATTTAGATAGGTGAGCACTGATTTTTAACGTCTGGGTAATTTGTCTGTATAATTTAAACGGACGTTATGTTATTGTTAAATATTACCCACCCTAAATAGAAATTAGAAACTCTGCATTAAGGGTCAGTGCTCTTATATTATTAATACATAAAGTAATGCAACTCATAATTTTCTTTTTATTGGATTTTAAGGATGCTGAACCTAGTAGGCCCTACACTACCCGTTTTCTAGGTGTGTGTCAGATCGCATTTCGGCGTATCAGTCAGAACACCGACAGGACGAGCCCTCGGTTGTCCTACAAAATTTGTTCTGGGGTATGATACTCTGAAATTTAATCTGACACACACATTGAAAACGGGTAGTGTGGTCCGATATACCGGTTAATTCAGGATCCTTATGTGCCGAGTCTGGTAGTTGGGTAGGCCTGAAATACAGGTTTTTACGTCTTCTACTGAGATCTTAAACCATTTTTGATATTTTATTATTAAAAACTGCTTTCTATGTATGAGATTGTCAGACATGTATCTTTGAAATAGTTTCAGACTATAAGCGAACGTTGATTATTAAGATTTCCATTCAACGTAGCACACAGTAGAACTTAAAATATACAAACAATAAAGAGGCCATGTTTTTTCTTCGTACTTAAACAATACGTAGGTTGCGTCCATTTATTTCATTTAATTTTTAAATATATTGGTAATTTATTTTCTGATAAGTACTTTATTTCATGTAAAGTCTGCCGAACATTTTAATGGCTTTTAGATTCATGTAAATAAATGAACGAATGAATAAATAGATAAATCGATAAATAAATAGTATATCATTACTTTTTTAAAATTGATATTTCAATTTCATCTTTCAGGCCAAACAGGTGTCAACCAACTGGGCGGTATTTTCGTCAACGGTCGTCCACTGCCGGACGAGGTGAGAATGAGGATTGTGGAAGTCGCCATGTTGGGGGTTTGCTCCTGCGATATTTCGGTGTCACATGGCTGTGTTAGCAACCCTTACGAAAATTTCCTATAGGATTTCTTATAAGATTTCCTATAGGATCCTATAAGGTTTCCTATAGGATATATTAAAAATTATATACTGATATTTAAACCAGTTTCATTATTTTTCATATAACCTGGCCTTATAAAAATTCCCTATATGAATTAGCATAGGATTTCCTATACGTTCCTATAGAAATTCCTATTAGATTTCCTATAGGATCCTATAGGAATTTTTGTAATGGTATGAACATAAATAAAAAATAAAAATTATATACTAATATTTAGACTAGATTCATTATTTTTATTCAACCCGCCCTTATAAAACTTCCCTGTATGAAATAGCATAGGATTTCCTATAGGTTCCTATAGAAATTCCTATAAGATTTCCTATAGGATCCTA